GGTACAAGGTGTATGAATGCATCAATGCGTCATGTCTTCCGATGATTGGCCAGTGAAGGACAAGCTTCAAGCAGTTTTCTTCCTGCTCGTTGCACATGCCATCGGCAAGTACAGGCACGTGTGTCTCTTCCAGCGGCACGGGCAGCTTGTTTGCCGAACTTGTCGGATGTATGATGCTTCAATGCAAGCAGCCAGAGTATGGAGAATGCCAGGGCTGTTTCACGGCAACTTGGTCCGGAATACCAGAAGCCGGAGGCCGTTACCGAGCTGCACGCATGAGTAAGTAACGTTGAGTAACTTTCGCACAGAACTCTATGGCCAAGCAATGTCAAGCATTATGGGCCATTTCGACTTCCACGGGGCTGGATAGTGGTATGGCCCGGTATGGGTTTCTGCAATCAGCCAGTTGCAGACCGGTGGCTATAAATCCCGCCCGATTGACGAGATTACTTGCGAGGCACGCCGCGCTTGTCATAGTTAGCACAAATCGGGCAACACCCGCTCGCCGCAAAATAAATTAAGGCTTCTTGCTATCCTTCTGGGCTAGGTCCGCTAGGTCCAGGTTGAAAGTTTGGAAGGTTCCTGCGCCGCCCAATGCAGAGCCAAGGCCTTGCTGCACATCTTGGACTTTTTCCCGAGCGTTGTGCCGACGGCTGCATGCTTGAGTGCCCGGGCACAGTTCCTTCTGTCCCTTGGCTGGTCTTGGCATCCAGTGACTTGAAGCTATGGCCAGGTGCTAACCAGCAAGCATGTTGTCCATGACTTGAGCAAAGACAAGCCTTGTCGTCTACTGACGGTTAATGTCCTGATCAAGCCTGCACATCATGACAAAGGCGTGATGTTCTGGAATTGGAAACGCTCTTCAACTTCGCGCAGATGCTGCCCCTGATGCTGCATAGGACTCGTGTAGCAAGCACGTAGTCCAAGCAACCGATGTCACGTCTTGTGGCTTGTTTCTTGTCCGAACGGTTCCGCGTTCCTTACCGCTGCTTTGTTGCTCTTCATATTCGCCAGAGCATCTAATCAGCTCGGAGAACAGCCGACGCAGAGGGGCAGGGGTTTTGAATCAAGCTTTGCATGGACAAGGCAAGCAGAGAATGTTCCCGGCAACGTGCTTCAGCTGCAGAAGCACCTGGCAAGCAGAGATCATCCGCAGGACCTGCCGTGATCGAGTACCCGTAGAAACAAGACATGAATACGCCCTATGCCAATAGACTGGTGGACCTGGGACCTGCAAGGACTTACTGCAAGTCTACATGCTGTATGTGCTCGGTTTCATCAGCGGCCTTGCGGGCGGAGTCGGGTCCCGCTTCATGAACCGCAACAATGCGAGGGGAACGCTTCTCGGGCTCAGAACCTTGCAGCACATTCTAGACCAGGCTCGGTTCGTGAGAAGTTGTGATCGTCGCGCACTGTCATTGCCGGAGTCGACGCTTGGGGTACCGGCAGGATGCCAAGATGGTGTACTGGAGTTATGTCCACGAAAGATGCCAGTTGCTCGGGCTCGAGGCCCCTGGCATGCCAAAACGCAAGCAATTCCCTTTCATGCTCTGCTAAAGCAACGTTGGGCCTGAGCTTGCAGGCACGGCAGCCAGAAGACCTCGCTTTGGGCCGTTTGGTGTGTCTGTGCCGGGTGCAGAGCAGCAGCCTCATGTGTGCCCAGGGACTGGTGTAGGGCACCTGCATCCAATAGAGACACTTGGACCCCTGGGCCTGGAAGTACCAGAACTGCTCAGCAAGCATGGCAGACATGTTGCAAGATTCTGCCCGTAATACCGATATCCTTGAACTATGTGGGCTGTTCAAGGCGAGGCGGACTATTCCCACATCCTGCATGCTTGGCATCAGCTTAGCTGCTCGGTCCTTTTTACAGCTGTAACAGTTGGATACAGTTGGCAGTATTGCATGAAGTCGTAGAGAGGTCATGAAGAGCGATGGATGCTGACGAAGCATTTTGTGTCAAACGGCATCACGACAAATGCCATCGTGTTTGAGCGGCTTGGCAGATCTGTGTCTTAGTTTGTTGCTCGCCACAGTGCACAGAAGCTTTCGTACTGAGAGATGTTCGGAGACCGATCGAGGTTTCTGCCTCTATGCTTGGAGCAAGCGAAGGGAAATCCCTTTGTCACCGTCCGGACTCTCCTGGAGGTCGCTTCAAACCAGCGTCCAATACGAACAGGTTTCGTTTTATCAACGGAAGCGAAAGCTACCCTGCTGGCCCAATCTGCAGCACACTCTGGCAGGTGCTAGTGGAGTTGATCCAGGTGGTCCAAGTGGCCCTGCGGAAATCGCGCTGTCGAGGCTGACACTGAGATGCCCGACTTGCAAACACGTGGTCTCAAGCTACGTGCGCGGAGTTTCTTAAAGGGGGCCAACTCATCGAGCAGTGCAGTATGCTGCGGTTGTCCTCTGGACAATCTCTAGCCAGCGAAGCTTCGTTCAGCGTGGGATGCTCCCGGAGTGCTCTCAGCAACCTAGTTTCGGCTATGCTTGACTAAGCACCGCAAGTTGTGATTGATTGGGGTGCGGGTCTTAATTTAATCAAGATCATATACCACTTGAAGGATTGGATTAACGATTAGACTGGGCATTCGATCAGATTTCTCCGATTTGCGGAAGCCTCCGACTCGTTCTCCTGACATCCATAAGTGAGATTCCTGTATGCCGATCACTAGCGTGAGTTGTCTCCCTGTCGCCCACAAGAAGGGTGTGAATCACCTCATTCCGTATTCCGGCACGCAGCGCGACAAGTTTTTTAATGCAGCAGATGGAGCGTGTGTGTTGTCTTGCTGGCATGTGCGGCTTGAAGTTGAATAACCACTTGCCAGGACATCGCACAGTTCATGTGGAGCTCTCTGATTTGGCGGCCTTCATTCTCATGGTGCAAAACACCTACATTTTTCAAACCTGCCTGTCGCGCTCCAAGCTTCGATTCCGGGCTTCTCAGCTGCAGCTAGAATCGGCTAGAAAAGGTCTGTCATTCAGGTCCAGCAAGACTGCAACTGCAACGGTCGGCTGCCAGTGCACCTCTGAAAAACTAAGGATCCCGATTTCATCCTGGAGCTGACTCAGGACCTCGGCGGCCATGTCATGAGGTCGTGGAAACATGAGGGACCTAGCACGAAAAAGCGCCGATGCCCCCAAAGCAAGCGCCAACAATGATGCAGGAAAACTGGGGTCGTGTGGGCGAGCCACAAACTGATGTCACAGCGCACTTCGGCTGCAGTCTCGGAAGCGGGTTGCGATGCCACGAAAGCAAGCACAGCCAAGGATAGCAAATTCAGTGCGGGAGCTGTTGCAGCTACAGAAGGTCTCTAGCGAGACAGCTGGGCAAAGCTGTGCAAACCAGAACTGAGAGTTGGGAGCCCCTCGCCGAAGTTTTTGCATGGAAAGTTTCTTTAAGTCTTGAACTTTGCCGTGCAGGCGCTGCGCTGGCAGGTGTGCAGGGCAGCCGCAGGATCCTTTGTGAAGTCGCTCTTTGCACTTTCAATGCCTCGATGCCCAAGACGTTACGTTGTTGTGGTGTATCCACGGTGTAGTCATGGAACCGTGAAAGCTGATGAGCTGCATGATGGATCGGTGAATTCAAGTTAACTCCTTTAGTTCCTGCTGCAAATGGTGAGCTCAAGGCTCCGCCAGTCTGCGCAGGTTGGCAAGCGTGCGGACTTAAGATGTGCCGACTTACTGATTGCTGAATGTGCAGTGGTAGCCGAATTTTTTTGCTCAACTTGTAGCTAGTTGACCGGGCAGATGGCTCAGACGGCTTAGATCCTGCGTTCACGGATCCAGTCTGCTAAATTGTAATGCAAGCCCTCCAAGAGTTGGGGAATAGCTTAGTCGAGTGCGAAGGAGAGCCTTGGCCAACGGATAGTCTCCGCCCATGCATGCGGCTCGGGCATCACGGGCGCAGGTGCGGTGTAGGCAAGATACTCGCATCTCTGGTTCCTAACACATGTCCTCACGCAAAGCTTGTTTCTTCTTCAGACCTTGTCTGGACTTGTCCGCGTGTACGCATCACGAGAAATGGCACGGCTTGTGACGAACGTGGTGCACGGCCAGCGGTTTCGAAAACTCAGAGAGACAGAAAGGAAGTAGCAAGCAAGCAGCTTCGCAAAGCCACAAGCCTGAAGGATGGAAAACTACTCGCATGGGGGGTTGCGGCTTTCATCATGGAGTTGAGGTGTCGCTTGTTCGTGTGCTTGATGCCACGGCAGATACAGGTTTTCCCCTCAGAACCTCATCCCGGCACCTGCGCCTGAGTGTCTAGCCTTCCGCTCCCGCAGCGGCCCGACAAAGCACGTCTTGCCCAGCGCCAGCTGATATTGTCTTGCCCGTCCTTGTCCGGCACTTCTGCGAACTTGACTTGGCCGTTACGGCCCCGATGAGTCGCCTGGGCAACACGCCCTGATGAATAACCCGGCACGACACTTGCCCAACTGGAGTGGCGAAAAACGGGAGGTCAGGGGTGTACAAAGGGACCAGTCCCGCCGATTCAGTAGAGGCTAGTCGTACAGGAACAGGCCCGACGCGCGGAAGCATGAGTTCACTCAGTGATGAACATTAGCTAAACGTCCGCTTAACTTCCAACCGACATTGTGAAGTAGTCATGACACGATCGCAACAAGTCCGCCAGCTTGCAACGAGTAGTTTGTAGATACGGTAGGCTGGCGACAATCGCTATCGCGGTTGCAGCCGAAGGTTTTAAATATCTGGAAATACCAGTGCAGGAAAAGGATGCCGTGCAGCGAGATGCAGCGACGAAGCTGGAGTTTCTGATGGTCGTGTAAGGCAGCCAATGCAGCATCAGTTTGTCGGAAGGCCAGCGCTTGCGACTCTCCTCGCCGTGATTCGTCAAGATCATTGCTTCACCAGTATGCCTTGTGACACTTCATCAGCTCATGCGGTATCATCCGAAATGAAGCAAGTCTAGAACGCCATAAGCAAAACGTTGGACATTGAGTGACCAGAGACCTCCTGCGATTCATGCACCGCTGTGCAACATGTCCGATCTTTCAGCCTTGCTTTATAGCAGCTTGGTTGCAGATGTTGACGTGGTCGGCACGCAGGTAGAGTCTTGGCAGCGCGGACGCTGCAGTTTCATGCGCATGGACGCAGAAGACGTGTTTGTGCACTGGCGCGAAACCGGAACAAGGTCTGCGGCAGCTGGAGTCCCAGCTGCAGAGAGTGATCGGAGAAGTTCGTGCAGAGGCCGGGATTGGTAGCTTCGCAGCTTTGGTAGCTTCGTCGAGTTGAGGTCCCTGGGCCCAAACAGTACGGTGCCGGGTTTCGGGTTCACTATGGCGACTGCCCTATTCCACCAGACTCATGCTTCAGCCACAGTAATTCCTTGCTTGTGCCCAGTTCTAAAGTGGACAGACAATCCGGGCACGGCAATGTATAATGACCTTCCGACTTCAGCTTCTTTCCCTTAGAGAGCCAGGTTGGTGTCTTGTCAAAGAATGCCGAGCTGGCCCCGACTGCTGCGGGTGTCGTCCAGGATGCGGTTCTGAGCTGTTTGTAAGGCGGACTATGACTCTGCCTCCAGTGCGGTGTTTCGCTAACATAAGCGTGAATGGCAAGCTTGCCCTTGAGGATGCGGTGCCAGAAGTGCCTCCGGTCTTGAAGACCTGCATCATGTGCAATGACATGGCGCGTGATCCGTCGCATGTGGGCATGGCAAGCACTTCAACGCAGCATGCAGCTTCTTGGCAAATCCCTGCATTTCGCAGTGCATGATGCCCATGTGGATGCCGCAACAAATGCCGAGGCTTCGCTTCTGAGCCACGCAGATGATCGTCCGAAGATGTAACTTTGCCTTGAATTGCACAAAGTTTGCTACAGACATAAGACACCAACACCACCATTCCCACCAGGTAGACGGAAACCTGGAAGTCTGCAAATTCTCTGCACCGGTACTGAACGCTCACCCGGTAGCAGTTGTTCAAGTCCCGCCCCGGCAAGGCATCTCAACTCTCACTTCATGGAGCTCTCCCTGACATCAGGCTGTTGACCGCACTGATGAGTTGTGACACAGCTCTCGGCCTCGCGACACACGCACTGCCCTTACACGTCGTTTTTGACGGAACCTCTCGAATAAAGCATGTACTGCTGTTCGGCAGCACTGCCAATCTGGCGACTGTCGTAAGCATTTACTATTTCGACTATTTGCAATGCTGCTGGCCGAAGCCCTGTGACTTGTCAGGAGGGGCTCTACATGCGGCCGGGCTCCAGCAGTCAGCGCTTCGCCGGCACACTACGCGAGCCCTTTCCGCCAGGACATCAAGAAGCCTGCAAGCGTGAATGGAGAACGGAGGGCAATCACAACTGAATTTAGAGGGACGGTGCTCAGTGGTAAAGGGGGATGGTCCGGCTGATACAGCTTCAGGGTGAGCCATGACAGTTGAGCCAGCGATGCACATATCTTGCGCAACGCAATCAGGAGTTCAGACGGAAGCATGTTGGATTTCGACTCAGCGAACTGCAGAGTCCTGTCGCCGCACTCGCGACCTCGAATTGCCTGGGATGCCGTCGGAGCAGGTTTCTGGGAGTACGTTGCTATCGTTTCGAGATTCCCTCAGCCCAACTGTTGCCACGTAGTATGGTTTATCATCGCGTGCAGCCAACAAGCCGTGGGCCGTGGTCTGGTTTAGGATATTCCAACCGCTTGTGTAAGAAGGTCTCATCGTGCTGGATGCATTGATCCTGCCGCTCAGCCTTGCGTGGGATTTTGACGTGTCTCCAGTCCGACGGGATGTTCCTCGGAAGATGCAGCAAAGCTGTGTTTCGTTTTTCAAGTCTACCAAGATCAGGATCACAGGGCTCGAACATTGGGGTCCATGGCAGTTGCAGATGCCGAGTACATTCGCAGCAATACATTGTTAGTTTGGTGCATGAGCCTTGGCCTTGCCGCGCACATGTCCCGAACGAGCCGAAACCACAAGCGCCAAAATGTGCCACGGAAGCGCGGGATCCTTGACCCCCGAAGGTAAGCACAAGTTGCAAGTGCTTGGGTCCCCTGTGTCATATGCAAAGCTCGTCGTGAGCTCGGCACACCTCGACACCCCACGCGCAATGACATGCACCTCTGCATCTTTCGTGTTTGATCGGATCCTTTAGCAGGCATGGCAGGCAAATTCCTTCATGATTGCTCCACGAAGGATCTGTTCCTGCAGCTGTATGCTATCATGCATTTGGTATTTTGGCCTTTGGACGTTTTCGCTAACTTCAACACTGGATTCTACCAGAAAGGAGTTCTGAATCTGAATCGATCCAACATAGCGAAGAACTACTTGCAGACGTGGGCCTTATTCGACCTGGCAGTCGTGGCTGTCGACTGGGTGTCCTGGCTAGCAACGACGGCGACTCAAGGCAACACGGATGTCGGCTATCTCAGAACGCTGCGGACAGCTCGCTACCTGCGTGCATTTCGAAGCATTCGTGTGCTCCGTTACCTGGCAGAAAGGGTTGCCGACCTCGTCCAGCCTTGATCATGCGAGCAGTCCGTCTTTGCTTCACAGTTTGAGAGGTGATTTTCTATGTTAATGATAATGCATTGTCAGGCCTGCTTCTGGTGTTACGGTGTTCTTTCTGCATATCCGGGGAGCTTTTCAGAAGACCGACAGTTTTCTGTCTCTGCATAGTAACCGGACAATTCTTCGCCTTCTACACCTCAAGGCATCGTGAAGAAAGGAAGAATCAACGTAATGCTGGAGAACTACGTCATCGCCATGGGTCGCCAGTGGCTGATTTTGGCATTCAATGTCATGAAGATGTTGGCCTGGATCGGGTTGACAGCTCACCTTTTAGCGGCCTAGCTGCAGATGTAACCCGCTTTTGGCGCGCCGAGGGCAGCTGCAGCAAGTCTAGCCATTGACACTGTAATGGCCATCGCAGTTTGCGGAAACCAAAGAAGTACCAATACCAACACATCGAACTGAGGCCTGTGCATGGTTTGCGGGGTGCTCAGGAGCATTCAGCAGTGTGTGGATACCCTGCTTTGACATACATCGGCAGGCAGTGCGCGCACCGAATTTGCCTTTCTACTTGCTAGCCCTTTGCTGCAAAGACAGAAGGGTTTGCTGCCCGAGGGTGTTGGAATGCTGTATGTGGCCACGGGAAAGAGCTGGATCGACCTCGCCAGTGTCACCGATTCATCAGGCCTGCGGAGACGCTTCATGACTTCATGCAGCTACACGGACCTTTTCGCAATGCACACTGTGGGCTCATGTTTCAGGGCATAGGCGAGCGAGTGCCACCTGTGCACAGGCCCGGTACAATACATCCACGCCTTGGCGTGGATTGTGCAACCGCCATCTCCACCAGAGCTCTCTGTGTTGGACCCCAACAGCTTCACGGAAAGACTGGTGTCTATCTTTCTGGCCACTTGGCAGAGATAGATTCTTGCTTTTCCCAGTCTTCTAATGCTCGGAGCATGCGATTCCTTGCCTGGGAGGTTGTGGTTACAGTCCTGGTGATTGGTTCATCGCTGTCCATGATGACGGGAACGCTGCAAGAACTTTGGACAGCATCTCGCACATCTGTTTGTCGAGCCCTGTCCATGAATCACTTTCTTGCGAGCTGCACCCGCAGCCAGGAGATACGAACCATTAACAACGAACGGAGTCGGAAGCGCAGGGAGCTCCGCACATACCTCCATGCGCAAACAGCGCCTACTGAGTGTCTTGGCTGCCAGTTTTTGCACTGGTCCATAGTCGGCTGAGTCGCATGGACAATTCGCACTCGGTCTGTCCGGATCAGAAGGCCTCTGTAGGGAAGGAGCTGTTTCCAACTCGAAGAGCACGTTCGCCATGGCACGAAGAGGAAGTTTGCTGATGGCGACCAGCTGCGCTGCGCTGCTCCTTTTGGGGCTGCGATGGTGTTTTGTGCCGGGTCCATCACAGCCGAGAACTGCAGAATTCAATCCTGCCGTGGCAGCCTCTGCTGCTCTGCCAGCCCTGACACTGCTCGCCGAGGATGCAGAGGCTAAGTATGGAGACCAGCGCAAGTTCGCAGCTGTCTTGGTGCCCCTCACCACACTGGTGTTTCCGGCAGTGGCCATGGGAATGTTTGTGCTTTACTCCTTCCAGGAGGATGCCTTCTGGCGCATTGTGCCAGGCACCAAGCGTGCCAAGGAGTTGGATGATGCCTGGAGGGAGCATCCACTCTTCGCCAACTCAAAGGATCCCTTGGATGGCCTCATCAACCCGGACGATTACGAGAAGGGCCTGGAAGAAGCTTGGGAACGTGCCAAGCCTGCAGGCAGCACTGTGACAGTTAAAGACAAGCTCAAGCAGCTGTCCAAGCGGAATAATCCTCACTGGGAGTCCTGGAGGGCGATGTCGGCGTGAAGATCCGACCCCGAGCTCTTTCCACCCCAAAATGATTTTTTTTGTGTGGCGCTTCCCTGCGATTCCGGGCCTGGCGGTCTGGGGTTAGCACTCTCCTTGTACAGACTCTTCAAGAGCTTGGGAAGTTGAAGCCGAAAACGAAATTCGTGCGACAATCAATCAAGGAAGCATTCGCATGCCTTCCCAGCTGCAGGTTCAGAGTGTTAGCATGATTAAGCAAAGCATGAAAGCTTCGTAGGTTCTGAGACCGAGGCTCATAATGCGAATCATGAGCTTTGCGGACTACAAGTTGGAACGTCACTCTCCCGTCTCCTTTGATCCAGATTTGATTTCGCCATTACTCAAGGCGGCTTTGCTGATTCTTGACGTCCGTGAATCCAGAAGTTCCGGATGCGACCCACCGACACGTTCGCTAGAGTTCGAGGCCGAGTTGGCCATGTTTCAGAAGGGCCACCTCATGAACGGCCATCCGTTATTTTCGCTGATTAGACTCTCGGTCTGGCCCATGTGAAGTAGCCGCATACGAAAGCATCGTTGGCCCCGAGATATGTCTGGCTGCATGTCACCTCTGAGGATCAGTTTTTCCGAAAGTGTTTGCCGACATCTGCTGTTCCTTTGCTGAAAGTTATCCAGTATAAAGCACCGGTTGCCTCTAGCGAACTGTTGCGACAGTGAAAGTGTGCTACTCAGTTTTGTGATGTTTTGTGCTCAACTGCAGACCCCAAGGTATTCTGGAGAAGCAGCTGTTCTATGAGGGTGAATCTGTATCTAGGCACATGTCAAGGAATATGACAGAGCCACAGCTTGAAGCGAATGCTATCGGGAATCCGAAATCGAGGTATTTGTGGTCGGGCTATTGGCGAAGGGAATGTACATCACCAGCCATGGAAGCTTCTGTGTTCGCGGCGAATCCGGCCGAGAAGAGGACCCGTGGCCAGCTTGGTCCTGACGCGTCAGGAAGCTATCGGATGTCATCCCTCAGCTTCGGTCGTCAGGAGACCGAGCGATTTACAGGAGAGTATCATTTCTTCGCGGAGGCAATGTGGTAAAGAGTTTGTTTGGCTCCTGTTCTGGCCGTGCTTTTCCCTGCCTGGCCAGCATTAACCTGGAGCTTGCTTTGCTGCCTGAGGCAGCGCTCTTTGCGGATGCCGTCGTTCACGACTGCTCACTGGACATTGAGACTTTCGCAGAGGTGTATTTCGTCTGTGGTAGAAATATGGCTTCAATTCTGCAGCTTGGTCAAAGAGTCGGCTGGCACACAGCGAAGGCATGTGGTTTGAAGTTTGGGGTGTGGTGGGTTGAATCTGAGGATGAACTCTCCTGTTTGTGCTGCACTATGTGTCGAATATGCACGAGCGCCTTGGTGCCGTCATTGGCCGTCAAGTGCTGCACCCTGTCATGACTGAACAAGCAGCCAGCCAGCCACCGCCAGGAAGCAGTCAGCAGCACTGTCAGCATCAGTTGGAGCGTGTTCGCATGCTGCATGTTGAGGAGTTCGTATCCGTGTATTCCACGTCTGCAGTCGAGAAGACGAAAAGTGGACGTTCCTCCAGCAGTTGCGGTTGGAGACGGGATCTGCAGTGCGCCCACACGGCTATCCAGACCAACTCCTTCCATGTCCGGCTCTTAGTGGAAAGCTTGCGGATACCCTTTCAACATCTCGCAGCTCGGAGCGCGCGGAGCCTGGTCAACGTACAACACATGCAGCGAGTGGTCGTGCCCAAGTGCAAAACCGTCTACAAGCAACAACCTATGGCGTACTCAGTAGTAATACTAGTAACTCGGTAGTAGTCGTAGTCGTTCTAGCAGTAGCAGCAGTAGTAGCAGTAGCGGCAGTAACAGTTGTAGCAGTAGCAGTAGTAGTAGTGGAGAGGCGGCTGCTGCAGTAGCAGCAGGAACAGGAGGCGGAGCAGAGCAGGAGAGGCAGTTGCAGTTGCGGTGGCAGTGGCAGCAGCAGCACGAGGAGGAGCAGGGAGCGGAGAAGTTTGAGTGGTGCTAGAATTTGTGAGCACGCATGTGTTTGTGAGTGTTTGCGTGCCGGTGTAGGCGGGGAGTGTTGAATTTCCAAAAGAGCAGTGCTAGTCGAGGGTGCACGTGCTTTGTGCATTCTTCAGGGCCAACTTAGGTCGAACTTCATCTGGATGAGCGGAAGATGCTGAAGTCTATCAACTTGAGTCCAACTGCCGAGTCTGCAACTGCAAGTGTGTCCTCGTACGGCGGCGTCTCATCCGTTGCGACGCTGGATTTGGGCACAAAGCCAATGACCATCCGCCAGTTTACTTCTTGGGCAACTTTGGAGCGCGCAGATCCGGAGTCGTTGATGAGCAAGCTCCGAGAGGTGCAGCGCGAGCATCACCAGCGGAGATGCATCCCATTAATAAACATGGCAATTGTGGCAGGTCTATGTTGAGCTGGATCCAATACATGGCCTGCATGCAATGCGCCCCAGCCGCACCTGGAAGAGCCCCCAAAGCCAGACCGTTAGGGTAAGTTCCTGCGAGGAAAGGGGATCGATGGCCATAGTTGGGTGTCTTACGGTACCGGTTTGGTTTGGTTTAATTAATTGTTATCTCCCGGTAGCTTGGTCGCGGTTGGCGATTGGCGTCACTGTAATGCCGTAGCTGACTAGCGGACTAGCGCTTGTGGATCTTCAGCCGGAATCCTTGAGCAAGTGTGAGGGTCGAAAGCCAAGCCGACCAACTTGGTGTCTCGTCGGAACAACGCAGATGCCGGCTGCCAGCTCAGGTATTCAGAGCCTCTCGAACGGGAAAAGGCTGCCAGTTTGATGTTAACAAAAATCACTACTGGCCACGGCCCATGAGAATCGGAGGCAGAATGCGGCTGCCTTTGCCTCGCAGCTCTGGCCTCAAACAGCTACGATTACTTCGTGGCACCACAGAAGGTGCTTCCGGCAGCACCATGGTGATTGTTGGCCAGGAAGGTGCAGGAAACTAGATGTGACACTGGTTGCTCTTTGAGGTGGAATCTCGGCTAGAGTCGGGCCAGTGGAACCAACTTCGAGGCATTCTCAGCTGGGCTGCTCCGACGCAGGACCAAGCGAACGTTGGGTAACAATTGTCGAGCATGAAAGCACCCTAACCAACTCATCCCGCGCAAGTGCTTGTGAGGAGATGCTGCAAGCCGCCTTCTTTTTGCTTTCCGTGCGAAGCATCGGCAAGTACAGGAGTGCAGCCTCTGCACCAGAGATCAACATGCGGTTTCCAAACGGTTTCCTCTCGACAGGACTGTAACGCGGCAGCTTCCTGAGGCGCATCAACGTCCGGAAGCTGCTTTGTCGCTTGGTTCTGCAGGTACAGGAACGGTCAGATTCAAAGATGGCGGTCACTTCATGCTGTGCCCGGGTTCTTGCTCATTGACGGTGAGACATCTGCGATGTTGGCGTTGCTGCGAAACAGCGTCAACAAGTCCAGGCTTTACATCTTGGACCACTTCCCGAATGTGGTCCCTACGGTACACAGCATCCTGAATGCACAGCTTTTCACGCTTCCGGTTTCCGATAGCCACATTGCAGAGAGGTGCTTTGCAGGGTTGCAACCTGAGAATGCCGTGGGGCATTGTGAGACTGCGAGATCGCCAGACTGAGGTTTGAGTGAGACAGCGAAAAGCTTGGTGTGGCCTGGCTGAAGCCGTGCAGTGTTGCGAGAGTCCAATGGGAAATTTGTTGAAACCTGAGGACCAATGTCCTGCAGCTTCAACAGGATTTCATCTTGCCCCAAATGCTACAGGGCGAGAACGTACCCGCGAACTTGGCCCAGCTGCAGTGCTTCGTCCAGGATAAGGGCGAAGAAACGCTGAAGTTTTACGTTGTCTTCCTGCTGGGCTTCTTGAGCCGCTTGGAAAGCACACGAGAATCGGGTCAGGCAGTGTCCGCAGGCGTGCGTACGCCTCCGATCTTCATGTCAGGTGCTCTACAAGGTGGCAAAGGGTCGAGCTTCATGACTGCGGCCAATGCGAAGAACATCATCTTGGGCCTTTCCACAGCTGCTAGGCAAGAGTTGATTCACAGGCCGGTACTGCTGTGGTACATGGTGTGATCTCGCAGCCGGCAAGAAAGCCACAACAAGGTTCAGCAGCTTCTCTCCAAGGATCCGCGACTCCTTTACTGGTCCTCTGCTTGCAGTAAGTGTCATGTGGTCGAAGCGCTGTGTTCACAAGTTCTCATTGCAATCATGCTTGCACGTCCAACTTGCACCATCGTCAGATCTTAGAGATTTTGAGAGCAGTCAGTTGTTGCCTGCCCCAGGATGTACATCTACCAGAGAGGCTTGCAGCTTCGTCAGCCTGCAAGCTACTTTTTCGGAAATATATCGCTCATGCCAGCGATCGGGGATGTATACACTTACAGGCAGACGCTTCGGATCCAATGCTTTCAGGTTCTTCTGAAGATCTGGCTCTTCTGCGCCTGGCCTGCCTCTGCCGAGTCAGCGATGCCCGTTCGTTTGAGGAGTTGTCGAGATACTGGGCCGAGTGTCTTGACGTACCAACAGAAGGCTTTCGGTTGCAGACATTAAATAGTAAGAAGGAACAAGAGCTCCTGATCCAGGCAGCGCCCCCATGATGCAATATGATGCTGCCAATGCAGCATGATACAGCCAGCCCAGGCTTAGTGCTCATGACCAAGATGTCCTGACGCAACACTTTCTGGCAAGCGGTATCCAGAGCGCGGCCATTGTTTTCGAGTCTCCTGGCTGATCCTAAACGCTGCGTCAGCACGTCATACTCGTCACGGAACGTGTGCCGAGACACACACTCGGTTGGAAGTGCTGTTCGAGGTTTCTTCCACTATGCCTGGAGCGCGCAAAGAGAAATCGACATGTATCGGAACCTTGGCCGAACAACAAAGTCCGGGTGCTTGTCGAAGAGCTACGTTGCAGTTTCTGCTTTGAGGTGCCATGTCTTCTGGAAGGGCTTGTGGTCTTGGTGGAAGCGGTCTTCGCTGTGCGCGCAAACGAGCCAACTGCAGGAGAGAACTAGGTGTGCGCCTACACTGTTTCGAAATAGCGAATGCTATCGAAGGAGAGATCATCACTGTTGACCTGTCCAACCTGGCAGCTTTCATACTCATGGTGCTGCTTGACTTGACTGGTGGCTCGAGGGAGTTGGCCGCAGCTTGTGCCGTCATGGCCAGGGAATGAAAGTGTAAAATATTTTGCAGCACTTGCCGCGTCATATCCAGTTATTCGACACTCAGAAAGAGAGAGTGTGTGGGTGTGTGTCTTTCTGTGACTCAGATTCTGAGACAAAGGCCCGGTAATTATTTGGCATTGAGGCAGAATCGGTTCGTCTTCCAGACCTGTCTTTCTCGGTCCAAGCTGATCGCGCAGCACACATCCCAGAAGCACGACCAGGGCAAGCGAGCAACTTGCCGGAAGAATAGGTAGGCTGCCAGGCATAGCGCATCCATCATACATGCTTGGGATCAGCACATTCCTGCCAGACTGTCTTGCATTGGCAGGATGTGTGGTTCCGACTGGACCTGACTGAGGCCTGAAGCTGAGAGTCACAGCCGAACGGCTGCGAAGCACTCCCATAAACTGCCCTGTCCGCACAGGACAACTGGAATCGAGTAAACGAGAGGCAGCACGACGTGGCCCTGCTTGCCAGCACAGTGCCTATCAAGCACCGAAGGAACAAAGTATGGCTATGGAGCAGGGACTTGTCATGTTCTTTGCAGAGGCTGAAACTGCTATGTGGTTATTCGTCTAAGCTGGCCACAAGCTGAGGTGCGGGACATACTGCATCGACAGCAGAGCACGAAGCAGAAGGCTTTTGATACCGTTAGTGTATAGACACCCCTGTGTGCAGGAGGCAACCGATGGATTTTGCAAGAACTATTTGTTCTGGCATCTGGCTGCCCAAAGTTGCAGCCAAGCACGCTAGTGCAGACCAGGCCATTAAAGCGTTTGGCAACGCCACGTTTCAGTGGCCAGCTTCCGAGCTTGAAAAGCTGTGGGCAGCTTCGCGAAAAACTGCGAGGTGACTCGACAGACTTCGTCTCACACGCATGGTTCGTAGCCACCAGAAGGATGAGAAAAGTGTTCAGAACTTGCAGTTTGGACTTTTGATTAGCTCTTCATGTTGGCCTCTGTGACGCAGTTTCAGAGCCCTTGGCATTCTGGAAGTGCATCGCTTCACATTTCATCTATCCTCACAGTGTAGCTTTGATGTACGTGGCTTTTCTGTGCCACCTCGCAGGTATCCAAACAACTTGAGCGACTGGACGTTGGACTTTGGCCAAGCTCCCGGTATCAAAGTTTTTTTTCGCTGGTGTCGAAGTGCAATGCTGTGTGATCTATCGCTCTTGCAGGCTACCGGCGAGAGCTTGCGTCAAGCTGAGCATTCTATGCGCTATGCAGTTCTACATGAGCTCTGCTGGGCCGTGTTTGACCAGCGAGTTGACCAAGAATATGTTGTCCGCCCTGCAATCTCTGATTCTGATGCATAAGACATGTCATGTCAAGCTCTGTCTGTGCCGAGTTGTTGCAGTGCTTGTTGAAGCCTCATGCATACTTCCAGTTCAGCATGTCGGTAGCTCGATAAATTCGATAGCAACACGGCATCCCAGTTCGCCCACGACGGCTGGATGCCATACTCGCCTACGAAAAGCGGGCGACATTTGCCCCCTTACCCTTGATGATCCTGTTGACCTAATTTGAGAAGGAGTTTCAAGAAACGCCATGCAGCTCAACTGAAGCTGCAACGAACGTTTCGGAGAGCAGATGGCTGTGGAGCCTACAATTACGCCTTCGGAGTTCCAGGCTGAGCTTTGCGTGCCGTGCGGTAACCGATTGGGCGAGTGCCCGCTCTGGGATGACCTCTGTGCCCGGGAGTAAGAAGCAGAGCTTGTTTCTGTTTTTCTCCTTGCATCTTGCATCGGTAGCATTTCCAGCACCGATCTTCCTTGAGGCCAAAAACTGTGCTGGATTGACATTCAAGGCAAGAGCTTCTGGCAGCATGACCCGCTCGGCCCGCCGGGAAATGCTAAGTGCTTCAACTTGCCAAGTCGGCCCGGGTCTTTCTGCCTCACCATGACGGGCGACTACATCTTCGCTTTGGAGAGCGGGTTCTCTTTCTTCGACTCCGCTGCTGAGCAGCTGATACCCATCACGGAGGATTCTTCTAATGCCCTGAGAAGAACTTGGTGCTACCGGTAGCGCAAGTGCGTGCCGGTGGCACAGGCTTTGGACCGTTGAAGTTGTCAGGACCTGGAGCCCGGGCTTCGGACACGCCTGAACGATGGCAGGGTGGATTGCCAAGGGCGCTTTGTTGTGAGTGGTTGCGTGGACAAGGGCGATGAACCCATCTCTGCCGTCTACCGTGTGAAGCTCAGCAACCTTGCTGTCAAGACATCAAGCCTGGAAGCTCATCCTGGGCACAGAGGCCTAAATTTGGACTTGACCGTCGAAAAGCTTCTTGCTGATGCCGTTTGGTCGCTAGGAGGACGCGAGCTGCTAGGAGAAGTTGACACGGAACGGCAGTGTTCGAAAGGTCCGCTGCGGCAACTCGATTTGTAGCTCGACAGCACTTGGCCTTGCTGCTGTTCAAAGTTGGCCCAATCCAGTGACCCAGTGCGCTGGGCCGTGCTACAAACGCAGAATCCTGTGAAGAAGTATTCAATTTCAAGACAGGCTCGAAGATACAGCTAAAACATGCCCACCCAGGTTTGTTGGAACACACCGCCCGGAACCCTCAGGAAATTTATGTGAAGATTTCCCTGGAGCTGCAAAAGCCTTCTCTTGACATGGTGCTGTATGCACGGGGCGCCAGCAAATGAAGAATGTGGAGTGGCGGGAATGGCACTTGTGAGCTATCACATGCTATCGCTTCACCCACACCCACACCCACACCCACACACATTCTCATGGCATCTGCAGAATCCGATGCAAGACACCCACCGTGAATTGCTACCTCGAAACATCTCAGAGCGACTACATTCCCATGGAGCAGTTATCTCATGTCTCATGGCAGCCCGCATTGTGCAGATGCGGGAAGCACATTTCTAGTCTTGCACGGCTGCCGTCAAGGCTTCTCCGGGGACAGCATGTTTTTTGCGGATCCTGCCTTCCGTGGTACTGACCCTGAGCATGCCGGAACAGCGACCTGGCCAAACCTGGCCAAACAGGCTCCGCAAGCATGCGCCGCAGCTTATGGCATTGTCTACCACATTGTCGTCACGAGGCAAACACTATCTGGCGATTTTTCGAGTATGCCTCGACAGGACGGCTAGACTGGGCTAGACGGGGCTTACCGAGCTGGCGCGCAGTTGTTAATCTTGAAAGGGGACGACCTGGTGTTGAAACGCGGAGCTGCAGGAATGTCGGGACCAAGTCAGGTGTTCGTCAATGCGGCTGGTCGACCTGATGGTTCTGTCATTGATGCGGAGGGCTGCCTCTGGAACGCGGAGTTCGGTGGAGGCAGAATCTTGAAGCATTGCTGGGCAATGCAGATCCCTGTTGAGTACGCCTCATTCGCCGTCCTAACAGCCCCGATATTCGGGGCTTCAGAGACAATGCTTACTTGGCAAGGGCCTACATTCAATCAGTAGCTTGGAGTCCATGCCAAGCGCACACGCGTAGGTGTAAACTTGCCACCTTGCTCCACGTTTGTCTGGACAAAGGAGTCGTGCGGTACTTGCCAGATGGTTCTGAGAGCATGGTCGTCAAATGCCCTGTCCGCTACACCACCTGCGCGACCTTCGGCGGGTCTGACCTGCAGACGATGTACATCACAGATGCCTCGGTTCCTGGACTGCAGCTTATTGCTGGAGCATGAGCTGTGACAGGGCCCCACGAGCGGCGAGACAACCCGAAGAGCTGCTGAGGTTTTCGTCAACCAGCGAGCTTCGCCGGCAAGAAGATGAGAAGAAACCCTGAGACAAATGTGACATGCCATCTTAACTTCAGACAGCGGCTGAAGCTCGCATGTGCCGCTTTCACAAGATGTTCATGGTGACATTGAATTTGCGGGCATCGTTCCCTCTTGTTCAAGAACGGTAGGATTCTCAACCACCAGAAATGGGTGTATACCGTGTATACCATTCGCTCAACATTATTTGGAAGCTGCCAAGCCCAGGAGTTTCGAAAAAGCGAAGGGAGGAGTTGCCAGAAGGAGCAAGACTGCATGCACTGCTCTGCGTGTCATTCATGACTCCACTCTCGGCATGCACGCAGTGGATTCGAGGACATGCAGGCGGCATCTTCAGCGTTCGCTTGCCGACTCGAGGTTTGGCGGCTTTCTGGCGGCATCGGATGTAGAAGCTTGAAGTATCTCGAGGCCAGGTGTGTTGAGATGAAGGACGAGCCCAGCAAAAGCGATTTTCGTGTGGAGTCTAAGGAGCGCCGATTTGCGGGAAGCGTTCCGCAGGCCGAGAAAAAGAGCACGTCCGTGCGCGAGATTGCATCTCACCTCCTCAGGATGCCGCCAAGCCTCCAACAAGTTTTTGTTTCTCGAGCTAAGGCCGAACTTCAGCGGCAGCTCGTGGACAGTGCCTGGAAGGCATTGAAGTGGGCAGCCTATGTGCCAAGCACGGACAAGAGCTCTGACCTTCTGCTTGAGGGAGTTGCGATGGCAGCTTTTGCAGGCGATTTCGTAACACCTAGCAATTTAGCATCACTGAATTACCCGCTTTTCTTTCGCAGCTCCGGTCACTCCAAGGCCCGCCGGTGTGTCCTTGCCTTGAAGGGCGGAGAGAGGGAGCTGCAGGGATTGGCCTACAACACGTCGGCCCGTCTCGGCCCGTCGGTGTTCAGGCTCATCTACTCGACATGTACCTTGAATAGGATGGAGAACGAGGAGGCTGGTTTTGTGCATGGAATCTTTCTGTCAGGGGCTTTTTCCAAGGGCGACTGTTGGCGGGCAGGTGTGCGACTACTTGCTGAGCAGGGGTGCGCAGTGACAGCCCAAGCCAGAGAAACCCTTGCACATCCCTCACATCCCCCACCTGACCGGCTGATCAGGCCCCTGCGCATGGCTGACCTTACAGGAATTGAGGATGCAGGTGCAGGCTGCAGACAAAACGGATATGTCGAAGCAATCGAAGTCTTGAGCGACCTGATCAGGTATTCGACAAGATCAAGAGCATTTGCTCCGAGCCGTGGCCTCATTTTCAGGACCATATTTGCTGGCTCCGCAATGTTAAGGAAGTGTACGGAGAATTCTTGCAGCTGTTCTCCATCTCGCACGTTTTTTCTCCGAGCCATTGCCGCGTTGGGGGGTCTGTGTTGGTTGCACTTGTGTTTTTAATGCAGCTGTTTCAGTTGCTGTTGCTACGGCTGCTGCTGCCGGTGCTCCTGTTTCGATGGTGCTTAAGCTGGTGACCGTGCTATTCAGCTGCTGCTGCTGCTGCTGCTGAGTCGCGAAGCTGTTGCTGTTGCCGTCCTACTGTTACCAGTGCTGCTGTCCTTGTACAGCATGAGTCGGCGGTCGCCACGAGCCCGAGCTGGGGGGGACGGGGTCTGTAGAGCTATACGACTTGGGCCTTGCCGAGGCTGTAGATGCACATGACATGCCACGGGGCGTTGCAGCGACACGTCAAAAACAAATCTGCATTAGCACATACCCGCATAGTGACATCGCAGCAGCTGGAGCCTTTCCATGACGTGGGCTATGGCTTCGGGACAGGGGGTGCAACGCCGTCGTTCTTTTGCGCCATACCTCCTGCCTTTGTGCTTTTGTTTCTAGTGAGACTCAGTGCATAAGCATAATTATGCATAATTTCCCACTACTTCCATGACTGATGATCTGCGGCCTTTCTTACCACAAGCTCAACATGGCATGGCTTGTTTTGTTTTCAAAGCCATGACGAGGCGAGGCTGCAGCCCGACGGTTGCCAAGCAATCTTAGCCCATCACTGGTGCAGCACGATGGGCTCATTGCACACGCCTCCCTTAAAGGTCGTGACGTTTTTTACAGAGGGACCTCCCTACGACAATTGCTTGCCGTTGACTGAGACCGTGGCGGAGCTGCGAAGTTGTCTTGCAGAGTCCGGAGTGCAGTTGGTGGCTTACAGCCCTCGTACATTGCGGGAGGACGACTACTACAAAAACCACTGCCAAGCACAGTTCGGAAAGGGCAAGCTCGAAGAGCCGGGGATGGAGCTCTTGCCTCATGCAGCGAAGCTCGGCTACTACGCCTGGAAGCCGTTGGTGATCTGTAAAGTGTTGTCACAGCTACAGCCAGGCGACATGTTGCTGTTCATGGATGCAAACTTGAAAAAGTACAAAGACTATAGGCAGGGCCTGGCTGACCTGCGATCGACCTGCACTCATCTGCTGCAACGGGCCGACATTTTTGTGCCACTGGAGGAGGCAGTTTGGAAGCGAATTCGAAATCATTGCAAAGCCTTAACTCTGGATTTGATGGAGGCGAACACCTTCGACATCGCGTACGCGCCCTGCGTCTGCGTAAATCGCATTCTGCTGAGGAAGTCTGCGCTTACAGATGCAATCATGGCCGAATGGTTGCAATGGTGTGCGAACAAGATGGTGATAAGCCCCATTCCAAATCCATATACCCATCCGCTTTGCTTGTTTCACACACCCGAACAGGCAATCCTCGCCGTTCTTTTGCGAAAGCGTGTCCTTGCTGGCGAATTGCCCCAAGGATGGCCATTCTACTCTTATGCATACAGGCATCGGATCTTCCACCTCCGATCAATGGAAGACTGGCCGATATCGCGCTGGGCTTCGCTATGCGGCAGACTACGAGCGATGCTCTTCTTCCTTCGGCATGCTGCCTTTTCCTATATATACCCAGTTACGGACTCCTTCTGGAGCCAATTCCCCAGAGCGACTGGTGGCTATTTGTTGAAGTTTGCATGGCGAGGGTTCTTAATGTGCATGATACCCTTGCCGAAGAACTGTTAAGTCTGCCGAATTCGAGCAGGCAACCTGCACCTGCAGCTTGCTAGATGGAGCGAAGAGCAGCCACAAATGATGTGACTTCTGTTCGATTCAAAGCTTTCCTGGCAACCAGCCGTTTACAGCTGCCGTGCAGGGTACTTAGAATCCCAGGTTTGGCCACAAACATTTGACACGGAGGGCTTCTTCCTTGCAGCGTTTCTGAAGGAGGTCTTTGGTGAGAATCGATGTTTGTTATGGCAGCCATGCAGCCGACCTATTGTTGCAGTGCAGTGCAGCACACAGGAGTCGCCGGACCTTCCGTTCTGGACAAGCACACCTAGGAAAGGTTTCTTGATGCTGCATCGATTCGATGCGTGTCACTGCTTGCGTGTATCTCTGCAGGCCTGCAGGTGCCCTGACGTGGACACCGATTCGTGCCATCACCCTGTCGCAGCTCATCGAGTCCTGTGAGGATCGAAAGAAGAACTGTGTGCCACACAAGCTGAGTTGTTTCAGGATTCCTTGGGCTTTCGCCCACCCCTCATCTCCACCTGCTCGAATCGCTTGGTGCTGCAGGCGCAAGCTGGACTTGTAACTTTTAGCCAGGTGGACTTCGGCCTCCAATCCAAAACTCTATCCGGATAGGAGGAGCAGAAACAAATTCTCCTCCTGCCGCGGGAAAGTCGATAGCTCATTTTCCAGCTACACGTAGCCAGTGAGTGCAGCCCTTGAGCTCTGAGGCATAGGCCGTGTGCCCCAAGCGTTGCACGGCCTAGCTAAGGCAGCCCATATGCTGAATGTTTCGGGCTCAGTGAAGCAGTTGAAGTGCGACTCAGGACCCTGGTCTTCCCATCGCAAAATGCACGGCTTCAGGGGACTTGCAGATCACCGATGAGGTGCTGGACGCTTCAAGTCGCAGTCCCTTGGGAGCTTTCGCTGTCCGTGAGGCCCGACTGCTCTTCGGCCGTTGCCCAGGGAAGCTTCAGCCTTGTTCAAACGCGAGATCTCCGCTATGCCCAAGCTCGAACCTGCGATCACTCATCCTGGTGCAGAGGTCAAGCCAGCATTCAGACTCCGCTGAATGGCAGCTGCCTAAAGCTCGGAAGCAGCTTGGCATATCACATCTGCACCTCAGGCTGCAGTTGGCATCAAGGTTGGAGGCGCCAAATGCATCAAGATGTTGTGCTTGCTGGAAGATGCTGAGAGACCATCTCAGACTCAGCGAGGCCAACCTGGGCAGCTTGAACTCCGAGCTGAATGCCCGCGTTGAGTCTGGTGATGCTGAAAGCGGATGACTCAGATGGCCTTCGGTCGATGGATGGCAAAGTTCAGTTGCTTTTTGCAGGTGCCATGGCAGCCAGGAGCCCAGCGTGTTGCAGAGTTTGCAGCTCCCGTCACGCAAACGCGTCTGATGTCGAGCAGGTTCTGGCTCAAATCAACGAGCGCCGCTGACGCCTGAGGATAGATTCCCAACGTTGCTCCTGGAATCAATCTTCGTAAATGGGTGTAGCAAGGTCTGGCACCAGATGTTGTCACCTACACTACCCTGATGAAGGCAGCCGGAGGTTTTTCAGAGAGCGAGTCTGTCCACAGTGCACACTCTTTCCTTGAGCTGCACTGTCAGCGTTTCGCTTGCAAAGCGCTCTGCGAAAGGCTGGCGCTCGGAGTGGATCCCACAGCCCAGTCGAGGTTGAGCGGATCGTGCTTTCAGCAGTGCAGGCAGGGCTTTTCTGTCGACCCTTTGAGAGAGCTGTCCTTCATAACCGCATGGCACGGACATGCATCCATCAAGGCAGGTTCAAGACAGTCCGCATCAATCCCGCATAGCCATGCAAATCTTCGTCAAGACCTTGACGGGCAAGACCATCACTCTGGATGTGGAAGCATCAGACACTATAGATAATGTCAAGGCTAAAATACAAGATAAAGAAGGTGCCCTGGCACAATATATGGTTCATGTGTTTGCAGCTTTCGATTTTCATGTCTGGTGTGGGTATGCGACCCGGTCGGACCTAGCACATATCTCGTCAGGCATCCCTCCGGACCAGCAGCGCCTCATCTTTGCTGGAAAGCAGCTAGAGGATGGTCGTACATTGTCGGATTACAACATCCAGAAGGATTGACAATCAATGCAGACTTGAAGCCACTAAATTCGGATGAACATACCAGGCACCGTGCAGCCCCGGCGGCCGGGTTTGAGTTTGGTTTCAAGCCCACACAAGGTTGCTTGGGTCGCCCTAGATTTGAAGAATCCGTTTGAAGCTGCTCGAACGGAATTAGTCTGCTGGGGCTTGTGACCGCACCCGAAGGAGTCAACTTTGCACTTGGTCCTTCGCCTGCGAGGAGGACATTGTCAGGTCCCCTGCGGCATTTTTGATGACCCCAAGCTTGTGGCTGATGTCAAGGAAGCTGTTGCAACAATCAAGAAAGCGATGGTTCAAATCGGCGAGCTCTCCGCAAGTATGACTGCGCTAAACATTAACCAGATCACACGCTGGGTCAACACGAAGGAGGAACATGCCGGCAAGATCATCTCGCTCATGTCGGAGTATTGCTTGTGCCAGAGAGTGAAGCCCGTCAGCGATCCAAAGACACCCTTTGCCAGCGAGGCTGAGTATGTGTCAGCCATCCAGTCCCATCACAAGGTCATGTTGGCAGCTGTGAAATGCAAGCAGAATGTCGACCCCGCAGTGGCTGATGCACTGGATGCTGCTGTGGCTGAAATGAGCAAGATGTACATAAAGCATGCCGGCGGCTATGGCGCAAAGTGACTAGATTTGCGCGACAATGTACCTAGCCAGGAAGACAGCGCCGCACAATCAAGCATTTGTTCCAGTTGTGCTTGGTTTTAAAACCGATATTGTTCGTCGAAAAACTAGAACCCCCTCATCTGGCCGTGCAGAGTGCAAGGGGCGTAAGCCGACCATGCATGCCGGGCTGCTTGTTGTTCAGCAATTTCCAAGCACAACTGCCAGCACTGCTGAGAATGGCCCAGTCGTTTCTCTCCCGGCAAGGATTGGTGAACTCAACAGGGCAACGTCATGCTCGATTGTGTGAGCATCCTTGTCCTTCGCCTGGGCTCTCGCAAGACTCCGAGTTCGAATTTGCAGAAAAGTTCGCAGCAGCGCAGCGGATTCTGCTGGCACCGGCACAGCCGATCGAAGTTGCTGTTAGTCAGGAAAAGATTCTCGTGGACATTGACCCGGCCTCAATTCCGCAGCAGTTGCACAACCTATGCAGGGCAGAATGATGTGAAACTCCAGGGTTTTTTCGCCACCGCCCTCTATGCCTTCGCCCGAGCCGGAGATCTGCCGAGGTGGCAGCTAAGCGAGGGCATCTTTGCAAGCACGCATGCCCTCGCAAGATGCACACGAGTGTGTCGAGGGTAGCCGGGTAGTTGGCAGCACCGGTGGATTGGCATCTCTTTGTGCGACGTGTTTCACGTCTTGCATGCACTGGAAAGTTTATTCTGCACTGCATCCCACCTCGCCTCCATCGCACGGTCGTGGCTTGGAAGGGCAGAGAGATGTGTTTCGATCATGCGCGATGCTCGAGTCACCGCCTCAATGTTAGTGTTGGCTTTGAAGTAACACACCGTCTGGGGGTTAACTCGTGCCGAGATTGTTCCGGACCTGGCATGCCAAAACCTTACTTCAACTTTCGAGACATAGCAGTCAGTAGAGAAAGCCGCGAAGCTTTGGATGCACGGAGGTTACAACTCGTTGATTCACGCTGCGTCCAAAGCCGGCCAGCACTGTCCTCAAGCAGCAAGGCTTATCAGGACATTCCATGCTGGGCATGAAGACCATGATCAAGTCTGTCAACAAAGGCTGCATCGAGTTCACCACTGGCTTGACCAGGCGAGCCGGCATTGTTCTGCCATTTGACACTGTGCGCTGCGTCGCTGTATCTGTAAAGCGCTGTTCAACTTTTGCCGGAATGTGTCATTCGTGCACTCGCCTGCACAGTGATGAGGTTTCAGCGGCGTAGCTGAAGCCAGCCAAACTGTGATTCCGCCAATGTGCACGAGGCCGAGATGTCCGGCTTGCCCATGACGGGTGTCGAACACTTACTTGTCATTCAGAATCTGGCCTATCCACGCATCCAGAACTTAATGGTTCGCGTGGCCCGCGAAGGTATGCTATGCTCTCGCCTCAGAATCCGATCTTCGACAGGCGAAGGCGGAGGGTCCCGGAAGCTTCGGCCATCCTCTCCTTGTGCCGAGGCTTCTGTTCTGAACGCTTGTGCCAAAGTTGCAAATGCAGAAGGAGCAGAGGCCCCTGTTATCTCCCAGCCCAAGCAGCCTCATGCATTTCCAATCCATGGAACCTTGGGACGTCCTGGGATTGCCGCAGCCAGTTGGTTTCTGCTTGTCCTCACCGCCACTTAAGGACCAAGGCCCGGAGGGTACTGAGGTCAGAGGGGTTCGAGACCCAGACTCTAGATTTATGGGGGGTTCGATAAGGCGATTGCACAAGTCCTGATGCAAAAAAAAAGTTTGAAATCACAAAATTTTCAGAGATCTTTGGCCACGGGCGCTCAGATCAGTTCTGCAAGCTTGGGAGCCTGAGCATCTGGCGCTGAGAATAGAGGGTTTGGGCTTTGCGCCTTGGAGTTGAATGTGGCTAGTTGTTTTGAGGCAATCGTAATGTTAGTGTGTAGCGTCGTCGTTTTGGTAGTGCTAGCGGCACTGGCAGCGGTAGTGGTGGGTAGTGGTGGTTAGTGGCGGTGGTGGTGGTGGTGGTAGTAGTAGTAGCAGCAGCTGCCGATTCTCAGCTGATGCCGGAACAGAGCCAAGTTCAAAGTAGTAGAAGCTGTTGTGGTCGTTCCGGTCCTAAGACTTCAGATCCCCATGTGCCATGCAATCCGAAATGTCTCGTGAGACGACACAATTGGATGTGTTTTGGCGTTTCGGTGGAAGGAGCATGAAGAATTGCAAATTTGCCATGGCCGTTTCCATGCAGCCGCATGCGAGAGGGTGCGTCATTCCGCCGTTGCGTGTCCGCAGGCTGCAGCTTGTGGAGCATGGCCGTGTCTTCCAAGTGGCGGGAACAGTGGATAGAGGCCACGGTGCGGTGCAAACAGGGTCAGAGACAGAGACGGGTACCTCCGTAGGAGGGCCCTCTGCACATGCCCGTCACCTCAGGCAGTATCCCAGATTCGGAGCGATCTGGGCTATGAGAAGAGAGCCATGGCAGCATTCTTGGTGCTCACCGTCACCTGCCGCAATTCGCCAGTTTGGGCTACCAGAATCATCTCGAACACGACAGGTGCTGAGCAGCTTCGAGCACTACAAAAAACTGGGCTCCTGAGGCTGACGGACTTGAAGAACGATCCCGCGAAGTTCTTCGAGGCTCCCTTTCATCGGGTGACGCTAGAAAACTGCGACATGGTTCGTCGAAGGCTCACCGGCTTTTGGCACACCATGCTCCAAAGCTGGGCCCTGGCTTCTGGATCCGCTTCACAGTGCTCTGGCATATATGAACCTGCACATGTGACAGTGTGTGTGCACTGCTGACGCTCAGATGCCCAGGTGCATTACAACCTTTTCGCGGGATCAGTCCTGGCAGTCCGAGTCTTATGATATCAAAGAATATCAAAGCACTCACAGTCTTCCTTATCACTGTTGCCGTTGGACGGCCCGTTCCGAAACCTCTGCCGACGCCTCACATCCAATCTCGCCCGAACTGCAGCACGTGGAAGATGTTCTGGTTGTTTACACCGTCGATCCCCAACGGCCAAGTTTTATATAAACTTGATCGACTGGCCCCTGTGTTTTTTTGCGCAGAAACTTTTAATGTTTGTCCAGCGATGACCGAACTTGTGATTTAGCTCATCCAGTGTCAATGCTGGTCCGGCTACTTCTGCACGACCTTCGGCTTCGGATCATCCATTGTCGATTTCAATCGGGCGATATCGTTCCACGACTTCTCATTATTATTCTCCTTCTCGTCCTCATTCATGTCCTCCTTCTCCTTGTTCTTCGTGGTCCCTTCTCAACTCTCCGTGCTCTCTTCTTCCGGGCATGCACTCACACTCCTGGACGTAATAAGCCAGAACCTCGCCTTCCCTTCCGCTTCCTCAATCGAGTCCGGCTCTAGCCCGTGCAGTCGCAGTGACAAAGCAGGGCAGCCGTGCCAGACTTGGGCATCCGTGTGAGTGTTCCCATCCCGTGAACTCCACGCAATCCCGGAAGGGCAGGTGGTAGCGGGCCTTATTTCGTCTCCATATTGACTGTGATGGGTGAGAACCGCTCCTCGGCCCCTGGATCCTTGTTCGATGTACATTTCAGCAGCTTCCGTGCGAGCCTTTGCGGAGCTCTCGACTGTGCAGGTCTCCAGGGCCCCAGGTGCAACGATAAACTCATCCCTGTCATACGTCTCGCTTCCTCTCCTTGCGGTGCTTTTGAAACTGATGTAATCCGATCTATGGTTGTCTTTCCGGCCCCAACCAAAGTAGGGCGCTCCCGAGAACGAACTCGGTGTGGCCGCCGAGGAAGTCACGTCGATCCTCCTGAAATCATCATCATTACCACCATAATCAAAATCACATTGTGCTCGCGAAGTCGGTTTTGCAACTGCGCATCAGCCGATAAGCCGACAAGCCGATCGGCTGATCACCTGGACGGCTTGCACTCCAGGTCAAGACTGGCTGCTCGGCTTTTCGGCTGATCGGCGTAGCACGGTTTGGCGACCAGATCCCACGCACACTGTTGCAAAATCATCTCATATATGTACATATATGTATGTATGTCATGATGCCCAATCCGCACTCTCCTCCGGTCCGTTGCTTAAGTGTCCCGAATGTAAATCCTTCAAACACGTGCTCAAGCTTACTTTTGACGAACCCAACCGAAACCATCACGAAGGCAAAGCTAGCCGAGGGCCAAAACCGAGAAGCAACCCCCGCAGCTTCAATCCTGTAGATGTCGATGTCAGTCTTTCAGGATGAAGGATTTGCACCTCCTGCACAGCTCCTTCCAAAAGAATCAGGTCGGAAATGATCAGCAGGTCGCCCAATTGGATGACATTCAACAGAAGGCCGGTGCTCCTGCATTTCAGCAAGTGCCGTTGCTTGCACGGCTCGCAGGGCCTGCTAGGCTGCTTTGGCCTGACAGAGAAACTCGCTGGTGTTAACAGCTGCACGGCAAGACTTCAGAGCTGACCAGAGCGAGTGGGTTGGCAGGGTCCACAGGGTACAGCGGCTTTCTGCAATGCACGTCGTCCTTCTAGTCTAACACCTGCTGGTCTGACTGCAGCCTGACTTGCTTTCACTGCTTAGGTGGTGGAGTCGTCAAAACCACTGCAGAGTGGGACGATCGGAGCTCAACTTGCCTTTGGACCGAGAGTCGCCGCAGCTTTCAAGTATTTTCAAGTGCACCCGCAAGGACGCTTCCAAGGAGTTTGTTATCACCTCGTCAGATGCTGCTTGATCGCAGATCGGTGTCCGAGTGTCCACTTGCCTGGATCGCAACCTGGAGCTCGTTATCGATCCGCGCGTGCATGCCCGTGTGCACGCTGTATGGATGTCTGTACGTAGAATAGCACTAGTTTGTCCTGTTTGGGCAGCCTAGGTCGGTGCACACAAGAACTGGATATCACAGGGTTTGGTTGGTGAGCTGGCCGTGGTGGTCGCAGATCTCCACGTCGCTGGCAAGAGGCCATGACTAGAACTGTGTGCGAGATGCTCCGCAAAGCTATCAGTTCTCGAAGACAGCAATTCTCCATGACAGGTGTGGAGCTCACGCCTTCTTAATGCAGCTTCGGAGAGATGGTCAACCTGTCCCCAATGTAGAACTGGGTGACACCTGGCAGAAAAAGTCGAAGTGCTGTCTATACCTTCCGCAACTCGACGCCTTCAGTCTGGACATTGAACACACAGTCGACGCCTGAAAGGACATGGGCCGCAAAACTGTGGGCAATGACCTGGACAATGCTTGGATCGTGCCTTGGTTACATCAATGGGTCCCGCCCTCTTGAAGGCCCAAGGTTCAGGACTCCTCATTCTTGAAAAAGAGGGTTCCTTCCTGCCACTTGCAAAAGTAGGTGAACTCCCCTGAAGAAGGGTATCTTATGCAAATTCCGCTGTTGATTCCGACAATTGAGTTGTCACTCGGGCCGTGCGGGAAAAGTGTACTTCTGCTTGAAATCTACCGTGTGGCAGTGCGCCAATTGGTATTGGTTTCAAGTGAGCACCCATGGGCGCCTCCAGCAGTCACGTGGCACATGTCCTGCATCGCATTGTGAAAAACTGCGCCGTGCCCAGGGCAGGAGTCAATTCTCGTTTTTTAGGAATCGATGTAGGTGCTTTTCTGACACAAGGCCCCAGACGTTTTCAGGCTTGTTTTTCTCGGGGCTTGGTTGTCTAGGCCGAGGCACGAAAGTAACCCCTGATTGGTCGCTGGACTTGTGACGTGTCGCCAGTGCTTTGCCAGCTCTGCCAGAAATCTATTTGTGACGGAGGGTGCATTGTGTCATGTTCGGCATATGTTTGAGAAACAAGCTTGACCGACTGTCTGTCGATACCTAGGACGGTACGTGGTCGGAGATTTTGGGGGGATGCTGACAGTTGACATGCTCAGTCCCAATACACCGCTCAAATCGCCCTCCCGCCTGCCCGCACGCCTGCGGGCAAACTGGATTTCCTGACAGAGCAAGAGTAAGAGGAACACGAAAAACGAGAATCGCATGTCATGTGCACACGCAGTGAAAACAGATTTCCCGGGCATGAGGTGAGGTATGACCCCCCCCCGAGTTGCCGTGTGTTGCTGGCCTCTTGGGGTCTGAGGCTTTCCATGGTGCCAGAATACCACACAGTGCGCTCCTGAATCGGTATGGGGACGTGCAGCCCGGCAATGGCGGCACCTACATCAGCAAGGCCCAGGCAGCGCTGCACTCCGAAGCGAAACGGTCGAAACGTGTCCAAGTCTACTTTGGTACTGTGGGCGCAGACAGGGCTTGACGAACATGGGCATGATCGGTCAGCGCCTCTTCAGCGGCCGTGTCGCGGTCGCCTGGGCCGCGCTGACCTTCACAAGAAAGCCACCCGATCGGATCAAGTAAAACCAGTTCAGGTTGGACTGAAGATCGGCATCGCGGACTGGATTTTAACTTGTCACATTTTTTGAGCCACAAGCGGAGCCTGTCGAAGTGTGGAGAAGTTGCTTCAGTTGGAAGCGGAGATGGCGAGACAGAGTGAGATCCTCGCATCACGGCCATCGCCCTAAGTAAGAATCTCACTAACTTTGCTGTTTTGTTCCATGATGTTCCATGCTCTTTCTGGCCAGTCTCGTTGCAGCGGAACAGGTTGTATGAAATGACTCGCCAGTATTCTGATCGCAAAAAATGTCAGGACCTCAGTCTCCGGGTTCGGCTCTGCCAAACACATGTAAGCAGGCCAAACCAGCTAATGACTTATGGTCTGTTAGACTGCTATCATTCGCTGGTAGGCTGGGCGCCGAAAGGCACCTCCAACTTGACAAGCGTTCCGCAGTTGAACCACCTGTCCCCTGTCCGCATAAATTGTTCGACATGGGGGTGGGTGAGTTGTTCTCAAGCGCCCGAGCATTCGGAGAGTTGCAGCCGCGCGTCGTGCACGTGTGACAGGTATGCGAGAGCAGACTCCAACTTGGCACAGCTGGAAAGCTTTGTTGGGGAGTGCGAGCGGCAATTAAATGACTGCTCTCCGTCTGCAATATTCAATGCTCAATGTGCAGGTCTGTCGTCTGTTGCTGACTTCACATGGCTGCGTCCCCGCCTGCTTTGTTGATCTGAGTCACGTGAAAGCTACATGTGTGGTCGGGATAGGTCGCTTTGCCAAAGCCTGCATAAGGCCTGTGATGCTAGCCTTCTTTCTGCTTCGAGAAGCCCCGTTCTTATGGCTGTACGTCCTTTCCACACGTTGCACCCGTCCACTTTCCGCCATTGGAGAACGCCACAGTGTGTCATCATGTTCTCGTCCTCACCCAATCCCACACCGTCAACCCTTTCCCGCGTGGACCCGTGGACGTGCACAACCCACGGCCCACGGGGCCACCAGCAGAGAAGTACTGATTTAGCATGGCACGCAACACCCATCAACTACGCTTCAAGCTCAGCCCGCAGTGAGGCCTTGCGGCCCCTGACCCCCCGGGACCTCGGAACCTTCGACCTCGAACTGCTGTCCAGGCCTTCGGAAAGATGAGATACCTTCTGTGGCTCTTCAGGAGGCTATCGCATGCGCCAAGATCGTTGCAAGTGTCATCCATCCGCAACAATCTTTGTTTAGATTCTAGATGCAGGAGCGTGGGGAAGACACTGCCAGCAGTTGCTGTGAACGTAAGGAGACGAGCATCGATCTTTGCTTTCGCCTGAAGCAAGACGTTGGATCCCATGCTTTGATGGGCGACACCGGCTTCGAACAGATGGACTTCCTGCAGGACCCCGCTTCAAAAGCATGGCAGGTCACAGTCGTCAATGCAAGGGCTTGCTAGTTGGGGCTTTGCAAGCGTAGTAAGCGGTATAGCTTGCTGTGGGAAAGCCAAATTCGTCAAGGCTGCCCTATGGGCACATCTGGGTCAAAAACTGGCCAGACGATCCATAGCCAGGAGAAAGAGGTAGTCTTCGTCGTTCCAAGAAATTGTTGAACAGGTTCTGGAGAGCAACATTGGGCTCCTGGCAGCAACGCGCCATCTTTCACACTACACGAAAACCGCCCCGCTTGAAACTGACGACAAACCCGCCCACCCACCTACCCACCGCCCACCCACCCACCCACCCTTGGGGACGTGATTCAGGAGATTCAGGCATCAACGTCGTAGACCCACAGCACGCAATTGAAGCCGCAGCTCGTGAGGCGTGCAAGTTCGCAGAAGGCGACTCCAGGATTCTGATGCAGAAATTGGCCCGCGATCGCGTCAAAGCATCAAAACCTATTGGCTCCAGCTTCGCGACTGCAATTGCCCAGCTGCTAGATGATCCGGTACTGGGCGCGCAGCAGGCATTTTCATGCTACCATGAGGCGAGGAAAAGCGCTTGACAGCCGAGCTGCAAGCAGCTTTGAAGGGCGGAGCTCAGGCAGGAGCTCGGCACTGGCCATGACAATGCATTGAGAGCAGCTCAGCCATGCCATGAGGCATGGGATGAGAACTTTGACAAGGTGTATGACTTGGCATGGCACGTTGTGACCCGCAACATTGATACGTTATGTCCAGGTACCTCGCCCGCACTTTCGTGGAAAGGGTCTGACGGCTAGCGGCTAGCATTGCGTCCTTGTGTTTTTCTTTGTTCGTGTCTTGTGCCATCGCCAGGTGCTACCCTCCGACTTCCTTGTGGGCTGTCAAAGCTGTAAGGGCGAAGGTGCATCCGAGATGTTCTGACCCCGTGGGAACCCTAGTGGCCCTAGAGGTTCATTGTTGTCTTTTTGTGTCTTGAACTCCGGTCATACCATTGGCAGGGAGTTCAGGCTTGGGAATCTCTTTTAATTTGGTTCCATGGCCTTTTTTACACCACTAAGAAGGGCGCACGTTTCATCCCAAGGCATGCAGAAGGCATGCCAGACGGAAACCAGCGGCAGAACAGCTTGCTTTTGAAGAATCTCGCGATGCCGCAAAGCGGCTTTGTTGCTGCTTGAGCAACGTCGGCCGCAAAGGGGGAGCAGCAGCCAAAGTCACATTTCAGATGAATCTCCGGAGGACCCTCCCAAACTTGGAGCAGTCAGTTGCGAGGCCTGCATGGTTCGCATGCAGCAGCGCGGCATTGTCCCTGACCTGACCTGCCGATCGCTTGGCCTGATAGAACAAGCGAGCCGCTTCTCACCTGTGCCTGTGAGTGAGGTTACAACTCTTTGCTGCACGCCTTTGCTAGGGCAGCCCTGCCACTGCAGGATTGACATTCTGCTGAATCTTGCAGAGTCTTGATCTCACAGAAGGGCGGTATGGCTACTCGTACTTGAAGAAGTTGCGACCAGGCGCAGGCGTCTTTGGCAGATTTGCGAAGCCAAGCGCTGCAGCCGGTGCCGGCCCAAGCTGTGCCTTGCAAGCCAGAGCACTTCGATGGAGCTGTTGTGCTTTGGTTGCGCGGTTGCACGGGAAAGGATGTCATCACCTTCAACACTTTGATCAGCGTGCCGGGCTGTGCTTCGGGATCCGGAAGTGAGGCGTCTGGAGTCGGTAGGTTGCGTCTCAGTCTCAGTTCAGGCTTACGGTGGCTCCAGGCCCTGGAGCCCGGCCGCCCGTGTGAGTGGCGAGTGGCGGCTTGGTTCCCTGCCGCAGGGAGTCGCTCCAACTTCTCGAAGTGCTCTTCCCGGTTCTGTTGCGGATTTGCCTTTGCTCTCGAGCGGTGGGCGTTCGGGCGTTCCAAGCTGCCCAGGAGATGAAGTTCTGCTCCGTCCAGCCCACCGCTACAAGCCTGTCAATTAGCAGTTGCTCAGATGATGCGATAGACAGGCTCCGATGGTTACCTCCCAAGGCGAGAACCTACGTTGCGTTGGCCTCCTCCTTTGAACGATCCGGTCAGTGGCAAGCCGTGGAGGTGAGCTGCATCCCACTGTGGTTCGCTCTCTGCATGGCTGATCCGGCCGCTAGTCTGTCAGGATCGCAAACAGCAGCCGGTCGCGTTGCACATTTCGGCTCCTGACTCACAGCTAGTCCACTAACGTGGTCGGATGTCTCCCTCCATTCTTGTGACAGGACCCCCTGCCCAGAGCGAATCCCGGTAGGTCCGACAACTTCAGCCCCAATTCTGATATCTGCTTCAGCTTCGGCCAGCAAGCAGCATGCCCTTTGATGCAAAGTACTTGCCGGAAAACCTTCGCCTACAGCTGCTGAAGGAGGCTGAATCGAGTGCACCGCCAACCGCGACTGGTGTGTGCAATCGGCTCGTTCGTTTACGGAGGCATTGCGTCTCGATCCGGACTTGAGAGAAGAGGACTTGCTGCTCCCTCAACCGAGACCAAAAGTCGAACAAAAAACGGCGAAAGCAGTTTTGAGCTGAGGTCCCGGGGTGTCATCCTCCATTTGGATGCCCGGCACTATGCTGAAGCCGACAAGGTAAGCTGACCAGGGAACAATGTTCCAAGGACCTTCCGGAGCAGATGAGCCGAGCAATCTCAAGAGAAGTGCAGTGCTTGAAAGAAGCGCGTGAGTGTACAGACAGAATCAGAGCTGGGCGAGGCATTCCTTCGAGATCTGCAGTGGTGTCCGCGAAATTTCTTGCACAGGCGCCATGCTCTCACGGTTTCAGCGCCCCATCAGCCCGGAGCGCTCAGGTATCGCCTTGCCTTCAAGGACCTCGACGACATCCCCAGAGAGGTCGGCACTCAGTATCACAGTTCGTATCATCTTGATGTCAAACGGCTCGATCGCTGGTGTGGTAGGCCATTGCACCTCTGCCAGACGATCTTCGAGGGTGCACAGCCTGTATTTAGACATGCTTTTTGTTGTGAGACTGCATGTGCAGGGCTCTGGACAAGCTCGAGCCCTTGGATCCTTGGCCTGGTTCCCACGTTCTGGTCTCTGGAAGGGCACATAGAGGGGACAGTTGTGAAAGATAAGGTCTGCGTCTGTCACGGCCCAATGGTTGGCAGCGGACCCAGACATGTCATGTGGCATGCGGACTGGTGACACGGATCGGCTGCAGAGTGGGGCTGCCCAGGATCCTACTTGGCGCTGCAAAGCCTGGGACGAGATTGATGTGATGCCTAAGGCCTAAGGCGGAGTCTTGCAAGTCGAATACAGCAGCATGAAAAAACAGGAGATCTCTGACGAGAACCTCCGCAAAGAAAGGCATCCGGGATCGACGAGCGTAGCGGACTGACTCGAATCCTTGATTGAGGGAAGCGAAGTATCCTGATGGTGTGCCTGCTGAGGCTGGCTGGGGTGGTGTTGTTGGTATACTCAGTCATGGAAGCCTTTTTGGTAAAAAGGTCCGAGAACGACGAGTGGATCCTTTCGATGGCCAGCAAGCAGCTCAGAGAAAACCCTTGTGACCTGAACCAAGAAGCAGCCTCGTCACATTCGGCCGGAATGCGCAGGGCTTTTTAAATATCCTGACATTGCTCCAGGCGTTACTCCCTCGCAGAGCTGATAGCGAGCCTAGTCAGCATTCAAGTGGAGGAGTCATAGATCAGAGCTGGCATCTAAGAAGCTGAGGAAATACAGAAACGAGTACAGCGAGAAAGACGTCAAGTCGTACTGGAAGACGCCTTGCTGCAAGAGTTCAAGCCATGTCTCGAGCATTGCAGCCTGCATGTGCAAGAACGGATGATAAAGGATGGTTCAGCGTACACAGTTTCCACCACCTCGGGCTGGCAGGAATGCTATGCGACCCAACGAATACAAGGCCCCTGCTCCTGCCATTAATCCCAATCATCCTGTCATGCTTTGCGTTGCCGTTGATTCATGACGTGCAAGACTGAGCGGTGCAGAGGTCGTCGATTGACTTCCTGGGCCAACTTGCTGCTGCTACGATCAGTTGTACATACGGCAATTTGCACCCCGCGGCAGTCCGCCCTGCACGTGAACAGCAGCTCGCAGTCTGCCGTCGTGGCTTCGGCAGAAGATACGTGCGCGTGCTTGACGTTCCGAAATCTCAGCACACTTGAATCGGACTTTGCCTCAACTTCATCAGTGAGCCTGTTCGGATATCAAATGCTGGGAGACTCGATTCTAGCATGTGCAAACGACAGCCGCGTCAAAAGTCATCGCTCAATTCTCTCCAGCAGTGTTGACGATAGTATGCGGGAGCCTCGTGCAGTTGACTCGTGAGCTAGAGCATGCTCCACCGAGCTGCCTCTGTGAGATTTTGGGACAACATTGAAGGACTTCGTGGGAGGGTCCTGCGATAAGCCCTTGCACATCCTGAAGCGATGCAGCCTGCTCATGGCCGTAGCCGGGTCGTGGACACAGCGAGTTCGGGTCTTAGTCGATCTGAGCCTCCGTAGACATTCTGCAACAGCGACATGGTCCATGGGGGCTTATGCCAGTACATCTCTGTCAGAAGCGAAGACATGCTGCTTCGTCCGCCTGCCGACGTAATTTGCTCAAGCTTGCGCACGGGCGGAGCGTGCCCGACGAGCCTTGGCTTCATTCGTCAAAAGTTTTGTAGCTGCTAGCTCCTGGCACGTTGCCTAGGTTGACATGGAGTTGCATGCTGCATGTTTCGGCTTCGTGCAGGTGACACCTGCTCAAGGCCGGTGGGCGGGCAGCTGGCAAGGCGAGCGGAGGCTCCCGCAAAATAGCTCAACATGGCTCAACGTGACCCTCGAGCCTTCAGCCTGGCGCAGGTGCTGAGCCATGTTCCCGAGCTTTTTATGCGGTCGGGTCCCGAGAGATGTCAGCAGAAGTGGGGTACGGCGGAAACAAAATAATGCACTCCTGTGCAACTTTGGAGGCAACTACTCGGAGAACGGCAGCAGCGCAGACGCCGCTTTGGATCGGCTGCTCTCCAGCTACAAGCTTCTTGTTTGCATCGAGGCGAGGTTTCTCGGAGCTATCATGCCTGGAGCCGCCATGCTTGTGTGCTTGGCGCGAGATTCGCCTGGATGCATCGGTTTTCCGCGACTTCGGTTACGATTTGATCGCTGTGCCTGCCTAGGGCCTAAGATAAGACAACGTTACATGTTCAGCTTAGAGCACTGCGAGCATACCCTAAAGGAAGACACGCACGGACCTTTTGCATCGGTTAAAGGGGATGTGTTTTCGTTGCTGCCAGTGCTCTTTCGCACTGACAGTATGCAGCGCAGCTTGCCGTTTACCATCCCTCGGACAAGTCCGAAATATCTGCATCTGCCGACTCTTCTTGTCTTATCAGCTGTGCCAAGGAAGTTGATTGTTGAAGGCGGGTACGTGGACACAAAGACAGAGACAGGCGCTGCGTTGTGTTTAGGGCAACTACAAGTAGAAGAGGGGCCATTCATCTGCTGCCTCCGGGACGGTCCATTTTTTTACATATCTTTGGGCTGAGGCAAGCATGCAACTGACAGCCCATATGCCACCAGCCGCACCCTCCGCAAGGCTTCAATGCCACAGCGATTTTTTTGGAGAGTCGCTCCCTCAAGATCTCCTGCAAAATGTCGCCACGTTGGTTTTGATCTTGCACCGGCGTACTTTGCAGAAAGGACCTGACTTGCCCAGCAAGGTTTGGAGGCAACAGCCCGAAGTTTGCGGCTGGATCCTGCTTCCCGATCGCGGGCTTCCCAGTTCAGAGCAAATTTCGCAGGTGGTTCATGCCAGGACTAGCAAGCAGCCGACACAAGCAACATTAACATTATCAAGTTCAAAGTGAATAGAAGAGGTTTCAAGAAAGTGCAGGTGTGCGCCCCAACACGGATTTCAACTTTAAAGCCTGAGAAATCCAAGAGGTATCGTTCCAGCTTCACGATCAACTATCGTGCACTTTTTCCAGACGAGCAGCTTGGTAGCAAAATCAACGACGCAGACGAGTCCTGCTTGAAGCCTCGGATATGCTCGGACTTCAGGTCTCGAAATTATCGCGTCGACATTCTAGAGGCCAGCATTGAACAGAACGCAGTCATTTGGGCCCCTGGGCAGCCTTTGAGGATCTTTGAGGCCTTTGGGAGTGCTTGGGCATGAGCTCAGATCCCAAGGTTAATGGTGACAAGTTCGAGTTCAGTCAGGAGGCTTGATGGGACACGAGATGTGCTTCACAGAATGGGGAAATCTCATGCCAATAGACTTTTCTCGATGTGGAAAGGCCATGCAGTGTGCAGAAGACCTTCAGCGCGGATGGTCTGACATGTGCTTGCTCCTGGACCGTCGGGAGCTCCAGTCCAGACTCTGTCACGATGTGACCGTGGCGCGGCTGTGCGAGAGGGATTTGCTGGCCGTGGCTTGCTCATCTCAGGCTGGCAGCCAGGTGCAGGAGGTGATCGCCCTGAGCGAACAGAGGTCCGCTCGGCTTTGGCCGGCACCTCAAGGGAAATCGTCATGGGAAGGTGTGATTTTTTTTGTGATCAGCTGCTGCATCATCTTGGTTGTGCACCTCTGCACAGTCTGCGGCCCTCACCCTTTGGCTATTTGAGGTGGCCTTGGATGCTGCATGGGCATCTTTCGAGAAGAAGTATATCAGTGAATTGATCCAGATTGAGGATCAGGCCAATCGGAGCCGTGTGCATAAGTCTGACGGTTTAACTGATTGAGCTCTGCAGGCCCGCAAGTTGATAGTCCAGGCGGTGGAAAGCGAAAGGCGGCATGAAGCTCCGACTTGGCTAATTGTTGAGTGGGGGCAAATCATGTGCAAATCTAGGTCTGCACGGCTGCAGTTTGAGAGTTCGCTCCTTGAAAGGCGACTTCGGGATCTGGAGGCGCGATATGGGGAGACAGAGGCCTTCCAGCTGCAGCTGAAGGAAAGACGACCGTAGTGTCACAGTCCGCAGTGCCCAGGCGCTGCTGGCACGGCCAGAGTACCAGTCTGAGCAGAGGCTCGATCAGAGGCTGCACTTCCTGGCGGCAGCTGTTTGCCTGTGCCTGCTGGTAGGAAGCTAGTCGGGTCTATCTCGTATCTGAACTCAGCCGTGAGCTCAGCACCATCACGTGACTTTTGCCTTGCCCACCATGACATGAACCGATTAGGTTGCCAATTTCCGTCGAAAGGGTCGCGACGACCTCCCGGCAGAGGTTCTGCAGCTCGGCCAGGAAGCACTTGCTAAATCCGGTTACAAGTGCTCCGGGACATAATTTCCAAAGAAAGCCTGCGCGTGGCCCTCGAATGCCATCGAAATCCTAAATTGAAGTCAGCGCCAGGAATGTGCTAGGAATTGCGTGGCCATGCGGAAAGCGATGTGCAGCTATGCTTGTGGTGTGAATTCAAACGCCCTGGTGTGACTTCAAGCGTTCCCGCGTGACCATGCGGTTGCGCGACTTCACGCACCCTGAAGCGACATAAAGCTACCGCTTGTAAGAGGCAGTCTGGTTCAGCAGCTGGACGTACCAGTGTTTTGACGCAAGGTTTGATGCTGTGCGGACTATACAGCGCTGTGATGCAGCCGAAAGGACGTCGGAATACATCCACACTGGCAGTGGACGAGTCTGTTGATGGCCTGCCCAGTGTCTGTTCTTCTTTCGGCGAGGAATGGGCAGAGCACTGAACTTTCTGCAGCAGCGAGAACTCTCTGTGGTGACGTCGTGGAGCTTCTTGGACGATGAAGAGCTCAGTTGGCTTGAGCTTTGGCTTCGTGCGTCCCAGCATCTTCTGCAATCTACAGAGGAAACAATCCGAGTCGCATTCAGCCTGAAAACAATCCGACCTTGTGCAGGTCCTTCGTGGCCATGCGGTTTTATTTGAGAGAGATTGGCAAGTGCCCCTTGGAAAAGAAAAGACTGCCATTTGTGCGTCGACAAGTCGGTGCTGTGGCGATGGCACTGAAAGGCCTCGAAAGAGTCGACCCACATCTTTGCAACAACGCCGGTCTCGTGACGAGATTGGTGGATGCTCGGATGCGACTAGTGGCGGGAGTGGGCTGCCAGTCTTCCCGAAACACTGCAACTTCTTGCTCTACTTGTGGCCCTGAGGATTGGGAGGAGAGCTGGGAAGTCGGCGCACGCTATGTTCAGAACGAGCAGCTCTTGCTTCTTTGATGAACGAAATGGTGCGATGAAGAAACCGCTCATATCGCCTTCCATCGCCTTCCTCTGGATGATTTGAGCAACCCCAGACTTGCGAACTCGTGAGGAACGGCATTTGCGACCTGGTCGCCGAGATTCGCCTAGCTCAGCATGTGGCGCCAAATCTGCGAACGATGTGCAGCTTGGCTTCGGAATCGTGCTCTTTAGTGCATGTTCCCGCCATTCCTCAGCACCGGCAAGTCTTTGACAGGTTGAGCCTGCACATTTGCCGGCGACCTTGCAACCGCATATGTCCGGCTGGCGCAGGTGAAGAGTGTGACGTGGACCTTTTCCTGGTGATGCCACGAGTTATTTGGTTGCGGGGCTTGATCAAGCCACACGGTCAGATACAAGTCCCTTGGAGAGACTGGAGTGCATTGTTTTCACTCGCGAACGTCCTCACTGAATGTGCTGCTCAGTTGATCGACGTCTGCTCAAGAGCTCCAACTCTTGCAAAGGTCTTCAAGAGCTTGCTCCCACATCGGTTTCTTGATCCACCGCTAGTCGGCGACGCCTGGAATGTGGATACTGAGTTAGCCAGCTTTGCCGCCAGGCTGCAATGTGCCTCATCACGTTCGTTTCTCGCATCTGGTGCCGAAGAGCCCTGGGCCCTTCGGCAGTTGTTCAGCCAAGGTGGAGTTTTTCAAAGCAGTCTATGCAACGCTGATGAGCAACTGGCGGTCTGCGTCACGCGTGTCCGAGCGGGCAGCGTGGGATGCCTTGGAAGCATGCAGCGGCGGTCGGCGGTTCGGGGTCGCTTTGCGGGGGTAGCAGATGTAGTCACACCGCCTTTGCAAGCATTTTTTCAGCATGTCTCAGGAGATTCTGGTGAAGCGGGCTTGGAACTTAGACCCGGACGCTCAGAAGTTGCTTTGACTGGATAAATTGCGGATTAGCTTGTAAACGCTTGTCGTGATGAGGTGGTCAACGGGGACGGCGAGTCTGATAAGGAGGACGTACACAAAAGATCCTGAAACCTGGTGACTGCGGGCAGTTCCGTTCCAGGGCACTGGCTGGCATTCGTCCGTGCGATGCAACCACACTTCGAGATATGCTGACGCTGTTTGAGAACTGGATTTTGCTGACATTGCTTACTACTTGTGATGGTGGGCTACCTGAGCTGCAGGACATTTATGGCGTCCTTGCTGGTGGGGTCAGGCAACAAGCTGAAGCAGCAGTGGAGGAGCTTTGTCATCCTTGTCGAATCCTTCCGTTCTTTGCGCCCTCCTTTGCCCAGAGGGCGTGTATTGTATTGTGGGAAGTGGGATGTATTGTATAGTGGGAAGTGGGAAGCAGGGTGATTTTGCGATTTATTCCAGGAGTTAGTGAACAAGATGGAAGGCTGGAGATGCCCGGACTGCACTTGGAGATGAGCCATCCAAAAGAGCATAAAGGATAAAGGATAAAGGTTCTTCCACCCACTGTCAGTCAAGGCATGGAGCTGCAGAGACACTGTGCAGAAGACTGGAACCAATTCGCAGGGATTCTCATACAATGCTTGTCCGGGCCCTATACTGGCACCACGACTTCCAGAGCATGTGCAGCAGGTAGCCCGCACCGCGCGACAGCTACTGTTGTCCATTGTCTATAGGTCTGGTGAAAGAAAGAAAGATGCATCGCAGATGCAATTTCAGGCATCTGATGGGGGCTCCACTTGTGCAATCCTCCTTTTCTTGCCAGTACCGATCATGCTGCACGAGGTTTGACGGTGTGCTTCCACGCCCGACGGAAGGACATCATCAGTCAGTGTATGGTTCGGTGTAGCATGTTCGACAAGATTCTGCCGCAGCCTGCCGTTGCTGATCACTCTTGCAGTTGGTTCCCAGAGGAGCTCCATAGAATGTGGCTCGACTCGCCGCAGACTGTTGGGGTTGCGATCCATTCGTGCCTTAAAGGCATTGGATTCCCCGGTATCACCTTAAAGTGTGGCAGGTCCCTCTCCGAATGTTTAGATCAAGACTCAGAGCCCGTGATTGTTACGCCTTCGGCTGCATGCAAATCGAGCTTGAAGAAGCACGCGAATCACAACTCTGAGTTTTTCATTACGCACGCTTTCAACTGCCACGGGCTGAAGTGGTTGAAGCCGGCCCTGGTTTTAGCCCTGTGAGTTGGAGTACTCTGCGTATGTAGCTTGTCCGACCTGCTCAGATGTACAATCTATCATTGGGGTTGAGGTGTATACTGTACGAGCGAAACATAGCGAAGCGTTCAGGGATGAGGACAAGTGATTTGAGTGTGTGGATCTGCGTTTCACATCCCGCAATGCTACTGTGACATCCATGCCTGCGACGATGGCATGGCATGGGATGTTAGTTGACATTGCCGATTTGCATCTCGACCTGACAAGAAGGCGGGATAAGAACCTCTGAGTCGGGGCCGTGCCGTGCCAAGGGCAGACCAAGTGGATTTCTTCCAGAAGCTTTCGTTGCCCTTACCAGAAGAGTCTGATAGGAAGCTTGTCTCAGAGGTTTCGGAAGACTGGCTGCTTGGCCAGAGGCCAACGTGGCAAACCATACAGGGTTGGTTTACACAGTCTAGCAGAAACCAGGTGGAGAATGCAGTCACAACGAAGCACGGCGAAACCCTTCCAAGAATTACGTTGAGCGTCTTTGTGGGTTTTTGTGTTGATTGTCTTCGCTGTTGCTGCTGTTCACAGCTTGCACCACCTGAATGCCAGGCTATCAGAGTGTAGTCATGGCGGCCTGAACGTGTAATCCATTGGTCGGAACATCTCCCAAAGTGCTCAAAGCACCAGTTTAAGTTTTGCCGTGCGTGATGGCACAAGCCATTTGCGTGACAGGACACGACGATGTGGGAAAAACATGAGTGCTCTGCTTTATTGGGTCCGTAATTGCGTACATGAGCCGTGCACGTGTCGAGCCGAGAAGTATCGCACGTGTCGTTAGGCCTCAGTCGTAAAGAAGTGCTTGCCCTCGAAGCACTGCGGGTGACTTGAGGCTACATCTCTCGGCACTGGCCTCGGAGGACCACGATTCATGCCTCGATCTGGCGCGACGACACAGTACCTCGTGCTCCAGGCCATCGACGGCAAGCGGCACCTTACTTTCTGGAATGCTCGCAGTTACTGGAGGCTTGTTTGTGCACGAGACATGGATGTGCCGAGCAGAATCGAGCAGATACCGGAGAGCGACAGCAAAGATGCGTAATGACTTGTCTTTGACGGGCAGCTCTCCAGTATCTTGCTTGCAGCTGTCTGCCTGTATGATTTGACAGGGCTTGGGTGGGCAAGGAAAAGAAGGGCCGTTTTTTATCACACCAGCAGCCATCAACAGTCATTAGCATGTCTGCGGTGGAGGTGGGGAGCTCTGTTTATCGGCATGCTTCCCCCGACCCCCTTTGCAGATTAGGCTATCAGTGCAGGCTCAGAGGAATGACGAGCGAAGCACGCAGGAGTGATGGAAGTGAGACTCAGCACTGCTATTGTCCCAGCTTTTGCTCGGCAATCGTCGCTTTTAGCAGCTACAGCAAACTGCATGAATGCGTGCATTGTCGGTAGCTTATTGTCCCGCGATCAACAATACAAGATGCAGGTGGAATGGCATACCTTGGTCTGCGAGACATACAAAAAAGAAGAAGACGGAGAGAAGTAGAACGGTGTTCCAACGAAATCCGGGCTTGGAGATGCGGTATGGATCGGTGGGGTTGAGGGTTCCCTGCAAGCAAGCAAGCAAGCGATCTGGGCAGGAAGGCTTCGGGTAAGAGAGTGGCCGCTGGCAGCCTCGTGCCGGTGTTGATCCGTCTTGACTGGCCGCTGCTGCAATGTAGCCGAGAGCATCGTCGCACACCTTGTGCGAGGCAAGAGACGTGGAAATCCGCCGCTTGAGGCCGGGTTCAGGGTGTCCGGGTGTCCCTTCATTATCCACCATTTCAAGGGCGCAAGACAGACACACACAACAGATTCACACGATTACCACGCATGTTGGCATCAAGGCGCTGGCAGCCATTCAGCGCACAGTGTCGACTAGGTCACTAGGTCTGAGGGTCAGGTCTCGTGTATCCGGCCAACGTGTGACTGCGGATGCCAAGATTGATAAACCTGACCCAGCAGGTGGGGATCATGACCTTGACCAAAGGAGACGCGGAGTTGAAGTTGAAGCGCTGTATGGCACAGGCTTTAGCCAAAGGGAGCTGGGGAACTACGAGGGTCCAGCCCGTCATCTGCGGAAGGCAGTGAGCTCCGAGGACCACATGGTGCATAAGAAGTGGCTCTGGCTCTGGACCGGTCCAGGCGGCACTGAGACTTACATGATCTCACATGACGAGCTTGCGGTCCAGAGCAAGTATTTAAAGTGAGGACGACAAGGGCGGTCCATGCTGGACAAAGATTTTGCCAAAAGGCTATTGAGAATACGCCCATTGCAAGTTTGACAAACTCGGCCTAACATCGAATGGAAGGCTGATGAGTTCAAGTTGCCGCGGCATTATGCCGCTACATGCTGCGACCTTTCTATGCATGCACATTCAGAGTAGCAGCATAATGTCCAGATATGTCCAGGGCAACTTTGCCGTATGCTTTCGACTCGTACACCAGCTTGCCACCGAGTGCTTGGAGCGCTTCCTGCCGACGAGGAGGCACCGTCCGGAAACGCAGGGAAAGACTGCGTCGAGACCTGCTGCGTCCGACTGGCATCGGGAGGCATGTGTGATTGACATGCGCACAGGCGCACACATTGACACGTTTTACTTTACATGATTGTGCCCGACGGGCCCCCTTTAGGGGGTGGCGCTGTGCAGTATGTGGAACGGATTGGAACGGCTTAGGCCTTCAGCTTCGGAGTTTAGTTGGGTTGGTTGGGTGCTAAGTTTCAGGCCAGCTCGGGTAAGTGGGTGCGGGTGGGGCACAGAATTCACATCGCACAACCCTACTGGTATCTATCTATCTATCTATCGCTCAATGCAAAGTGACAACAGGTCGAATTGTACATACAAACTGCCTGGTGGCATGATGGAGGAGTCACTGGGCATCCTTTGATGACTTGTTGGGGTGTCTATCTGTCTTTCCATCTATTTAAGCATCTGTGCATACAGTATATGCATGGGTAGTTCTCTAAGTAGGGTCCCGTCGTCGGTCACCCAAAGTACGGCACCCTCAGAAAAAGGAACCTAGAAGGGTTGGGACCTCAGTTTAGAGGTTGCACCGTCATTTCTGCCCCCCCCCCATTCCCATCGACCCTGCCCCCCCCCCCCCCCACCCCGGCCCTGCCCCCCCCCCCCCAGCCCCCCCCGCTGACGCCCACCATTCTGAATTCCTTGGACCAAGACGGCCCGGACAGCCCGGACAAGCCCGGACAGTCACGACGATCAGCCCGGACAACAGTCCGGACAAGCCCACAGGAAGCCCGGACAGTCACGACGATCAGCCCGGACAAGCCCATCGAAGATCAGCCCGGGCAACAGCCCGGACAAGCAACAGCCCGGACAGCCCGGACAAGCCCAGAGGAAGCCCGGACAGTCACGACGACCAGCCCGGACAACAGGCCGGACAAGCCCACAGGAAGCCCGGACAGTCACGACGATCTGCCCGGACAAGCCCATCGAAGATCAGCCCGGGCAACAGCCCGGACAGCCCGGACAAGCCCACAGGAAGCCCGGACAGTCACGACGACCAGCCCGGACAACAGTCCGGACAAGCCCACAGGAAGCCCGGACAGTCACGACGATCAGCCCGGACAACAGCCTTACAAGCCCCTCTGAAGCCCGGACAGTCACGAAGATCAGCCCGGGCAACAGCCCGGACAGCCCGGACAAGCCCAGAGGAAGCCCGGACAGTCACGACGATCAGCCCGGACAACAGGCCGGACAAGCCCACAGGAAGCCCGGACAGTCACGACGATCTGCCCGGACAAGCCCATCGAAGATCAGCCCGGGCAACAGCCCGGACAAGCCCACAGGAAGCCCGGACAGTCACGACGACCAGCCCGGACAACAGTCCGGACAAGCCCACAGGAAGCCCGGACAGTCACGACGATCAGCCCGGACAACAGTGTGGACCCTGTGCCGGGGCTCATTATTTCCTCTCATATCGACAACATGTCCTCTATACGTATTGTATGTATATGCATGTATATATGTATATGTAAATGATGAACCCCAAGGAGAGAGGAGGAAACCCAGAACGAAACCCTAAAAGGAGTAAACCCAGAACGAAACCCTAATGAAAAAAGGCCCAACCCCTAAGAGGGGTAAACCCAGAACCAAACCCTAAACGAGTAAACCCAGAACGAAACCCTAATGAAAGAAGGCCCAACCCCTAAGAGCAGTAATCGGCCCAACCCCTAAGAGGAGTAAACCCAGAACGAAACCCTAAAAAGAGTAAACCCAGAACGTAAGAGGAGTAAACCCAGAACGAACCCTAAAGGAGTAAACCCAGAACGAAACCCTAAAAGGAGTAAACCCAGAACGAAACCTTTATGAAAGAAGGCCCAACCCCTAAGAGGAGTAAGCCCAGAACTAAACCCCAAAAGGAGTAAACCCAGAACGAAACCCTAAATTTTGAAAGGTGTAAACCCAGAACAAAACCCTAATGAAAGAAAGCCCAGCCCCTTAAGAGGAGTAAACCCAGAACGAAACTTTAAAAGAGTAAACTAAAAGGAGTGAACCCAGAACGAAACCCGAATGAAAGAAGGCCCACCCCCTAAGAGGGGTAAACCCAGAACGAAACCCTAAAAGAGTAAACCCAGAACGA